TGAACCTGAACCGAACTGAGCTACTGCTACTGACTGAACTTAGGCTACGGCCACACGGGCGTTTTTTCACGCAAGAACGCAACGTGAAAAAACGCAAGAAATATGAGCAGCATTAAATGTAATGAGGTATGCCACACGCATGTGTTTTCCCGCATTAGCGGTCGCCTATTTGTTTCAATGCTACTCTAATTTTTCGCGTGTTTTCACGCTGCGTTTGTGCGTGAAAAAACGCCCGTAGCGAACTGTCCCTCACTACTCCGGACTCCCATTCCCATTTGTGTGTGGCAATTCTGATCTGAATTTGTGATTGGTAAACACTAAACAGCACCACATTATTCAACTCAACGTGTTACAAGGGCTTCCTGTAGAGATTAACCCATACAAGATAATTGATAGCTTTTTGTTGCTAAGTGTTTCTTAAAGCCAAGTTAAAGCATGCTCTGTGATTTGTAGGATGGGTTTGGTTTAAATACAAACAATTAATGGTCCTATACAATTTTTAATGTTTTAACTAGGTTTTTTTTGTAAAAAAATTGGTACTAAAAAAGCTCTATTAGGGTTTCCTTCAAATCCATCTTACAGATCATAGAATTGAACAAGCTGAACAAAATAAACAAACCAAAAATCATCTCTCTCCCTTCTAGATTCTAGAAGCGTTGAAAAAAAGGGAGACTGCAGTCCTTGTCAGGATTATTCTTGTAATGATGTAAAAATTTCTCATCTGAGGATTGCATTGAGAAAACTTTGTTTTGTACTTTCTCTCCCCATACATAGTGAATGGAGGAAGGATGGTTTACTCAATATTTTTGACTTTTGAGTGGATAACTTATATCTGTTTTTAGTCCTCCTGGTGTGTGTGTATTTGTACTGAGCTATAGACCACACCTGTGTGGTTAAATTTTAATGAAATTTGGTACCGTATGTACCCATGGTATACAGGGAATTTTTAATTTATTTGGAAAATCTGATTTTCTAAAAAAAGCTTGATTTTGAAAACAATTTAGTATGTTATAGCTTCTTTTGACTAAAATCACTGCCGTAATAATTGCACTTCAAAGTTATTGTAACTTTTGTGATTTCCATTTCTCCCATAATAGTTGTTCCTCATCCTACCACTTACCCAAGATATGTTGACAAACTAATGGGAAAAGTATGTGTCAGATTACAGATACTGTTTATATTATCAATATAATTTAATTGTTGATATTCCTCTTACAGTAGGACAATGGGTGAATAAAAACTAAGCAATATGTGTCATTGTTTATTTTTAGAGAAATAAAGACATACTTCTTAAGAAAGCAATTATTGCCATTGTAAAACAAACATGGATTTCCGTGATGCATCATATTGCTTGTCCAGCCGGTAAATTGTATATACAACCTTCAACCTATCAGATCTCTGGGATACAATGGTATTAATTGCATAGTTATAATCGCCACATAATTAATATCCTACATTTCACTTTGTATCTACATGATTATGTCTATGAGTATGAAACCATTTTAAAGCATATCATATGGGACACGGACAGTACATTCAGGTCAAACAATAACATACTACAGCTAATAAAGGCAACGATAAAGACATCAACTCGATGGAAATGCAAAAACACCACCTAATTATGTGAATTGTCAACGGATAGAAAAATACTTTGAAAATAAAATGTTTCCTAGTTTTCACGATTTTACATGCACATTGGGGGGTTTGGATTTGTTAACCTTACTAAACCAATACATACTAATTAATATAGGATGATATAAAGTTATATTTAAATATAAAATTATTAATTTACAGTTCAGAAACTTTGTTTGCTGTTTTTGAGCATGAAGATCTGTCCTTAGGTTTACAAACACAATATAAAACCAAATAATGAATAGAATAAACAAATTAATTTAAACCTGCAACTGGATGTGAAGAAGTTCAGGAAAATAACGCAATTATAAAATCTTTTTCCGGGGTGCTTAAAAATGTGTTCTCATTATCCAATTTTGACGAAAACTATTCAAGTACAACTAATTCTTTGCAAATTTGTCATTGAACAATTTAAAGCAAGCATAACCTAACAAAGATTAACAAGGTTTTGTATATTCTTTATTCCAATATTAAAATTAAGCATCACAGCCTAATTTTCTTTGAGGTATTTGGGCATACAACTTCTCCCACCCACAGGTTTCCTCATGTTGGTTATTTTAGTTTATTTATATTTTAGCAATTGCAGTATAGTATATATTGTAGGCCTTCATGCAATAATATTTGTAAAATGCTTGTAAATTGTTTATTTGTAAAATAAATTTTGATTTGATTTGAGATTAAATTACATATTATTTGTCACTGATTGTAACAATTTTAATTTAACATGTTTTGTAATTGAATTATTTTTGTTAGCAGAAGTGTTTAAAAGCATTTAAACTAATGTGTATAATTTGAAATACTTATTTTAGCTTTAAAGGTGGAATTCAAAGGATATTTTAAATTTGATAGTTTCCTGAACCCCTTACCAGCCAAAGAAATGATTCTTAAACCAAGATAAAGCTGCAGTTGATAACTTACAATCACAACCCTTATCAAACATAAAATTTAAACAACTTAAAAGTATCTTAGACGAAAATAAATAAGACCACTACTTACGAGGCAAACATAAAATATGCAGAAATAGTAAATATTTAACAGAGTATAAAGTTTTCATTCTACGAGCAAAATGTGATGTAGGCAATAACCTATCTATATTAAACAGTAAAAGTTAATAATGTGATAATATGTGGAAACATAATATAAAAAAAAAACATTTCACACAAGTTAGACATAAATTATCTTGAGCTTTGGAGACAATTACACTTTAAATAACTGAACTGGAATTTAACATATCATCTTGTATCTGTATAATAGGCTCAGTTGATGACTACTAAAGCAGCCATAGCTCGAGATATTTTGTATCCAGTGAAATATGAAATGTCACAAGATTCCAATAAATAAATAAAGCATTGTTGTAATGGAAAAAAATAAAAAACCAACCCAAAATATACCGGTAAATATTTTAGATTGATTTTGTGACTTAAAAACATGTTTGTGCTAAAGCTCGAAACACTAAGAATATTAACAGTTTTTTAAAGGATTCTCAATCTACCAAAATCTATAAAGAAAAATATAAATCCAGTAATCATAAAAACATGATAGCTTAATGACAATTTACAATATCGCTCACTCTGAACACACTTCAAAACATAAAAGGTCCAGCCTAACATACAAACAGTAGCTTAACCAAACAAGAGATTTCCAACGACTACTTTTGATCTTGGGTGAAATTGTGCAACAACAATAAAAATAACTCAAGTACCCGTCAAATCGAAATTCTAAGCTCGTCTATCTCATGGCTAATTAATGAAATATGGCAAAATAATACCAAAACCAAAAATCTCATTGCAGAGAAAATTCCAATGACTAGTTTCAAAACAATGTCATTTTGTTTTTGACACATATATAAATTACTTAACCTACTGATAAAAAACATTATAACTATAAAAACAAACCGTAGGTTCTTAACAAACAGCAAAAAGAGAAATGCAAATACTTTTGTGTCAGTTTAAATTACTTTCTCAAAGTAATTTATAAAAATCTAAAACTAAAATATATTAAAATTTAACCTTTTTTATTTTTTTAAATATTTTTTATAAAAATACTCTTTTGGTCTAAAGACTTTACAACAAAAGTAAATCACTTTTGTTTACTATAAAGGACAGACGAAGGGTTTAACTACAAAAATATTTACATAAAATACAATATGTAACGAATACCTAAGATTTACAAATGTTACAACATATTCTGTTCCTAAGGGGTGATAACTTAATCACATAAATACTATCCACATATTCATATAAACATTATATACACACACTATGTACATACTTGCTGGACTGAAGTGAACCAAACTATTTTTCACTGTCATGTTTGACTTCCGAAGAAAATTAAACGTTTTGAGTCATTATGATTTGTAAAGAATATGGCAAACAAAATGATTTGTCTGATTGACTTGATATTTAAGATCAAATTTTAAAATCTACAAAAATTTACACACATTTCTTTACACATTAAACTACTACTCACCACACCACCAATGCCCTTATATCTTACAACCTAAGTACATTGTAATAAATACTTTAAATGCATAACGTAACGATTTCAGTTTCACGATCAATCAGCCTAAAACCACATTATATTTTTTTCAGTAAACAAAAATCTTCTAATTATAAAATAAATTCAATTGAATTAATACCCGTTTACTTTTTGAATGGACAAACAAAAAAGTTCTTTAACCATTCACGAATAATTAATACATAAATTTAAGTTCACAAAAATATAGACTTAAAACCATGACAAAACTAATGATTCAAATTTTAAAAAATCGATAATAAAGTTAATGATTCTTAACGTTAAAAATGTTGTAATGATATTTGTGCCACAGTAGAGAATACAAAGCCAGTTACTTGACACTAGATACAAATTGGAAAATTTTCTTTATACGGTAATTTTAAACTCTACTCATTCTAGGATAATTTCTAAGAAACACCAAGAGATGAATGAATTTGAAAAGTACGAAAAAACTTTAGGTTAGTACGAGGGCTGTCTGTTAATTAAGGTCTTCTATTGCACCCAAGCAAGCTTGCACAAATCAAAGACCAAAGTCGTGTTCTTTACAACCACTCAACATTGTTGGTCTCAGATTTGAACTAGTTCGCTTGATCGTAACTAAAGCTCGATGAAGACTAATTTACACTCAGTCCTCATATTTTTTTCAGATTACCGACAAATATTATTGGGGTAATTCTCTTAAGTTTTAGCAACTAATTTTCTTGCCGAATCGATAGAAATCTGAAAATAGATCGTACATGTTTTACCCTGAAGGGTTATAAAATAATTTCACACGGGAGTTCCTTGCGAAAGGCCTACCCTTAGTAACGTGTTTGGTAGGTAATGTTCTCTTCAGCTCAGCGCAGTAGCCATTCTCATGGACTGAGCAGTGCAGGTCTCTTGCGATGACGACGTCCGGGCTCCAGTAAGTAGGACAGGTCCAGTGGCTGCTTGCTGGGTAGTCTTGCCAGCAGTCGCAGTAGCAGGCTGTTCAGCGAGGCTTTCTGTTGCGCTCTCTATAACACAACAATCAGTCAGTAAAATAGTGTTGATTTCGCATGACAATAGTACTGTACTAAGGTGTTATTCAAGCTCATTTAGTAATTTTTGTTGATTCAATTATTCCAAGGGACATTTCAGCTAAGAGGATTACATCAAAGAACTCTTATAAATAACCCTTTAACCATTGTAAGTTAAAATGTATGAGATAAAAAACATAGCATCAACAGTAAAATTCCACCGAACCAAAATAAAGGGAACTATGAAAAGATATTGCTGTTAATCAATGGTTGAAATTTAACGACTATTTCAAATCAAAGAAATCTTTAAAATCATGTACTTTACAATAACTATGTACTGTGGTCCTCACAAAGAAGTAAGGTACAGAGGAAACACGCTTATGGGACGACTGTAAGCTTTCAGCTCTGGTATGTTGTGCCGGATACTTGTGGCGAGCAAGGAAAATCCTGAACGGCGAGCACTGTGCGGATATTCCCATCGCACATGGCCCTCCTCAACCATGAGCGTTGTAGTACACAAGGGCGAGGGGGGTGGTGTAGGACTTTGCCCTAGATCCCAGCGACTAATGCTAGACACCACTTAACTGTACCATTGAAGGTTTCCTCTGTACCTTACTTCTCTGCGGTTGTCCTCTTTCAATTATACATAACATAAAAAATAAATTATTCTTTGACCAAAAGAAGTGTAATGTAACCCAATATGACTAAGAAAATTGAATATTTGAAACCTGGAGGAAAAATTATGACAAAATTACACATTAGCAAAATTTAAAAATAAATGTGTATAAAACTACTAAGGTAGCCTAATGATTTGAACTGACTGAAATAACTTTCAAATCTAGACCATGGTAAAACAAATGATAAACTAGGTGTACATGCCTTAGTGGCCAGTGGTAGTTCATCATCCTCTGTAGTTGTGGCTATAGACACTGTGGTTGCCGTTGTTGTTGTTGTGTCCTCCATGGCACTGCGACCTCCACGACCCCGACTCACACTCGTCCCCTTCACTTGCCCGTGAGGCTGCAACACACAATACAACTGGTTAAAACAAGTGCAAAACCTGCGGTATTTCCAGTGAAAGATTTCACCAACACATCCCACAAACAAGAATACAAGATCAAAGAGCACATAAACTGCAATAGTGAAAACCTAATCTACCAACTATTGCACCCTCTGTCAAGCTCAATAGGCCTTACAACACAGACCCTCAAAAAGAGGATCGATAGATACAGGAAAGATGAAAAGACCCACATAGAGAAACCCATAGCCATGCATGCTGAAAATCGTAACTTATATTTTAATTCATCACTTCAACACTATACCTAAAGACCGCAAACGTTCCGAATTGAGAAGGTGGTAATCAGCCTACCAGTGTATTAAAGACTCCAGAAATCCACCTAACCACAATTTAAAATTTACTTCTCTCTCAGCTAGCTATAGAATGTAGTTTTCACTTAAAGTGTCACATGGAGAAAATTTTTTTTGATAGAGTTTAACTTTCAATATCTAGTACTTTTTCCTGTGTGAGATTTGGTATTTACATTTACACATCACAACTTGAACCATTTATAACAGAGACAGTTTGTTTTAAGTTGTACTCACAGTGTATGTCCTGGTAATCTTGAGACGCTGGTCGAACTTATCAAATGCATAGCTCTTGAGACACACCGGGGGCGTCTTGGACTTGGCAAGTTTGGCAAACAGTCTGGCACTCTTGTCCACCCGATACTCGCAGATGTAGATGTGTTGAGGGTCTGCTCCTACAGGTCGGCCCTACAATCACCACCACACAGGTTAGTTGAATACACTGATGATAAGATATGATAAACTCAAATTGACACACAAAATTTAGGAAATACTAAAGGGTGTCTACAAAACCATGAAAATACAATTCAAATTTTTTTTTTTTTTTTTTTTTTGGTTTGGAATTAAAAATTTAAATTTAGTAAAAAATTTTACAATGTTTATTGGTGGAACTACCTACTATTTTGTGCATTAAAAAATACTATCACCAGTTTTTCCAGTCGGCTTACAGTAACTGTACTAACATCTACAACTGTTCTTCGTAAAGGAAACCTAAGGAATCGCACCTCTAAAAAAATATCCGTGATAAAATCACAAGGCTAAATTTTGCTGTTGACGACAGATAAACTTCTATTGACAAATTTAGTTCTTGACTCAAAGATAAATTGGAGCATTAGAAAATCTACTTTTGTAACTGTCATTCAACTTCCTTTGAAGAAGGGTCCTTGTCGAGGAGAAATGTCAAGTTTATTTAAACACAAGCACCCCCCTGGGACCTGGTTTATTTTGTTGTGTGTGTGAACTTTTCTGAATGCTTTTTCTACTGGAAACTACTTGGAACTTTTTCTTACGTAAATTAGTAAGACAAATCTATCCATTTATTCTTCCTTAATTTATTTTGAAGCCAAGTGCTATTACATCCAAAAACTATTGTAGCTCCAATGTTATTAGTTAGACAAAACTTGATTTTTTATTACTTAGACAATCAACATCTTAAAACCAATAAAATTAACAGCCCCAGTAAACCCTAAACTAGCATGTAACAGCAAGATTGATGTATTCACCTTGCAATAAGTGTTTATATCTAGCACATAGCAGTGGCCCATGATCAGGTCCAGAGGCACCACTTCATACAGGGGGATTCTCATCAACTCATTGGGGAAGAACTTCCGCGTCGGCTCATGGAAGGTCTCGTGAGGTCTGAGGTAGTGATGACCAAACGCGTATCTCTCACCCCTGCACAGAAACGTTAAATTATCACTAAACAAATATGACTTCTCTTTGTCAGTCTTCCTCTACACAATCTCATTAAAATAAAGAAATTAAAAATATGTCATAGTTTAAGTTTAAAAAAATTAAAATTCATTGCTTTATGTTATACATTGATATTTACGTAAGAGGTTAGTAACCACTTGCTGTAATGCTGCTAAAAAAAAACTCCGTATCAAAGGTAAAGGTTACTTTAAGTAAAACCAAAATAACCGAAAAAATATCTAATTGTTCATATTGGTCTGGTACTATTTGCAAAATATAGTAAAAATCCCTTAATAAATTGAAAAAACAACCCACTTTTCATCCTTCCAGAGTCGCTCGATTTTGAAAATATCACAGTCGGAGAACTTGATGTTCTTGATAGTCTTGTAGGTGTGTTTGGAGGGCGGAGTGGTCGAGGAGCCAGTCTCTTCGTTGGGCATGTCTCTCAATACGTACACCGTATCCCCTGCAACAATAAAATGATTAAACACTCAACTAACATGGCATTTGAATTGAAAAAGTAGGAACTATCAAGTGACGTTTTATTAGTTTCCGTTAACTGGTTTTTAAGCACACAAAAAAACCAAAATTGAAAGTATAGAAAATTATGGTTTCAGTTTATTAGTCAACGGATAATTATGTCTTGACAACGATAGACGATAATGATGTCTTTGAAATCTAGAGGGAACTATAAGATTTTGCAGCAATTGTGGCAATTCGTAATGATGATGATATCTTCGCAATTAAGTTGGATGCTTTCAATTTTGCCGTAATCGTGAGATATGATGTCTTTGGCATCACAGGGGTTGTTCAAGATTTTATGCAAATGTAATAGAGAATGGATGTCTTAGCGATCGCAGAAGATAATTCTGGCAGATGCTTTCAGTTTTGACCTAATTGTGAGATCTTACGATGATATCTTTGATATCGCAGGATATGTTTAAGATTTTTATGCAAACACGATAGGTGATAGATGTCTTAGCGATCACGGAAGAAGTTCTATATTTTTCTGCAACTGCGGTGGACGTTCTTCATGGTGTCTACTAAACCTGGTTTGAAAAATTCAATGAGTTTTCCAGGAGAATTCAAGACAAATTCCTGAATTTTAAGAGCTATCGGAACCCGTTTAACTAATCGCAACCCGCTAATAATAATTTATTATTATTATAAATGATTATTATTACCATTATTAATGATTATTATTTTTATTAATTAGATTATTATTATTATTATTAAAAAAAAAAAAACATTTCCAAAGAATAATATTTTATACAACATAATAAAACAGTATAACTGGTAGGTGAGGCAACACCAGTTATCATCTCCCGCGATCGTGGGAATACCAGTGAGCATATCTTGCAGTATCGTCAACACCAGCGACAAAACGTCACAGCGTCAACGATCACGGCAACACCCGTGAGCTAACTTTGCGGTTTCGGTAATATTTTCCTGCGACGCAGCAACACCCGTAAGCTAGCTTGGCGGTTTCGGCGACACTGATAATCGTCTCTCGCGATAGCGGCAACACCCGTAGGCATATCTCGCACTCTCGGCGACACCGATAATCGTCTCTCGCGATCGCGGCAATGCCCGTGAGGAAATCTCGCGGTTTCGGCGACACTGATAATCGTCTCCCACGATAGTGGCAACACCCGTAGGCATATCTCGCACTTTCGGCGACACCGATAATCGTCTCTCGCGATCGCGGCAATACCCGTGAGCATATCTTGCGGTTTCGGCGACACCGATAATCATCTCCCCTGATCGCGGCAACACCCGTAGGCATATCTTGCGGTTTCGGCAACACCGATAATTGTTTCCCACGATCGCGGCAACAAAAGCGGTAGTGTTTCGGTTAGCTGACGATCCCGATGACCGGGCTCCGGATTCCCGGAGGTTTGGGTGGATTCCTGGAGTTTTCCAGGACATTTCAAGGTAAGATAAAATTCCCGGAGGTTTCCCGGTTTTTCCGAATTTCCCGGAGAGTAGACACCATGTTCTTGAAAATTATGCAGCATTTCTTTCGACTTCTTATCGCAAAAAATGCATGATACCACCTAAGATAAGTTTTTTGAGGATGACCAGTGGTAACAAGAACAAGTAATCAGTTCTCCAGTTTATTTTAATTTTTTAAAGATTACTTTATTCTTTAGTGCATAAAGTGGACAAGAAAAGTTTGGTAAAGCATTTTAGTTTTTATAAAAACGTTAAATTTAGAAAGCTTTCATAAATTAAAACAAATATTCAAAGTTAAACGTTACCTTCATTTTTCTGTGGACTAATCACATGGTTTTTCACTGCACCATTTTAACTACACTATTCACTTAAGAATTAATATTTGGCACTGTTCCTTGTGAATATATTTAATGGAAGACAAAAAACATTTTGGATTGAACATTTAAGTTGATTTATTCCAAAATCACTTATTACAATATTTGTTTTAAAAGTCTGACTAAAGTAGTTATTTCCTGTAGAGGATTGCATGAATAGAAACAACTGGTTCAATAAACTGGTTTCAAGTCCAAGAAACAACTGACTGGAAACAGTTGTTGTGCTCAAGGAGTGAGTGAGAGGGAAATACTGACTGATAAGGGGATTCTGGTGAATGACAATGCTGGAACTTCCAGTTGGACTATGAACATTCATTGTTGATGTTAGCCTTTTAATATGTCAGTTTAAGTTTAAATAGAAGATTTTATCCATATTGTTTTATTAATTTACTTGACTGCTTTTTATATGAGCCAGGTGTATTATTGCTAACCAAATCATTAAAATTATAAACATTACTTGCTAATTAGTTATATAAAGAATAATCAATCTGAAAGTGCTTGCTAATTTATTATGAGTTACATTAGAACCTATTAATAGCCATGGACTTTGAAATTAAGGAAACTAAAAATGGGAAACCAAATATTATATTTAATAATTATAAATATAGGCAAAACTATGTGGCCAAAACGGGCGAAATCACTTGGCGCTGCCTTGGAAGGAATTGCAACTCAACTATTAAGACTGATACAAATAAATCAGCAATCTTAGCAACAGTTAATAAACACACAGGCCCTCATCCAGTCACAATGAGGTCGCTTCTATCTCCAAAGACTTTAAGTCAGGAGTCCTCTACTCAGTCAACACCATGTGGAAAATACCCTTTTGAAACATCAACACCATCACAGTCGTGCACTCCTACAGCAGAGTCTTCTCTAAATCAGCTTAAAAATGCACATGACACTGCTTCCCCTGCAGTAGTGGTACTACATGAAGAGAATAAGAGACTTAAAGAGCACAATGCAACTCTCGAGAAGCAACTTAAATGTGTTCTTGATCACTCCATTGAGTCTGACACCCGTCTATTGGAATTCACTGAAGAGATATTTCCCATTCCCGATTATTTACCTAAAACATATGCTCCTCAAATGACAGAATGTGCGGTCCAGTGTGAACCTCAGACAGCTACTTCTTCTACATCCACCTGTGATCTGGCTCAACCTACACAGGCTGATGTTAAAACTATTCAATCTTTGGAAGCCAAAACAGATGTTGCATCCGATAATAAATCATTAATTATGTCAGAATTGTTGGGAGAATCATGGATATCAGATTTGACCCTCCAGCCCTACTTGGATATGTTAAATAATCAAATTTTGGCTTCAACATCTTGTGTGATAATTAATCCATTGGTAGTTCACGCTATTAAAAACTCACCAGATTTCCACTGTTTCCTGGACCCTCTCACTGTGAAAGACAAGAAATTAATTATCATGCCCATAAACGATTCTGTAGATTTGTGTGGAGTAGTTAGCGGAACTCATTGGAGCGTGTTAGTCTTAGAAAGAACTGAAAACAAATTTTTGTATTTTGATTCACTCAATGGCTTTAACCTCAATTCTGCAAAAAAAGTCGCCCAAAGGTTATCCGACTATCTGGGTGGCGAGGTATCTTCAGCATGTTTTAGATCACTGAATGGACCACAGCAGCCTAACAGTTTTGATTGTGGCATCTACTGCTGTTGGATTATTGAGTCGCTGGTACAGGATGTTGTTACTTCTGGTTCATTGAATATTAACTATATACAAAATAAAAAACTATCTGAACAGGAAGTTATACTAAAGCGCTCACTTTTGGCTTACTTCATAAAAAACCTCCCAACTCTAAATAAAAAATTGTTCCACTCCCTCATGATTGAAAAGGAGGGAAAATCATATGTTTCTGCCACTAGAACTAACAGTAAGGAAATTTTAACGACTAAATCTATAGGATGGACTGAAGTAACGTCTAAATCAAAGAATCTAAATTTCCCCAACATGGATCCTGTTATTACAACAAACAAATTTGAGGTATTACAGAATCTAAAAAAATCTGATGTGACCCATAATAGTCAAAAACTGGCGCTGTCTAAGTCCAAGGACCCTCAAGTTAACCACTCCAACTTAAGCATCAAGAACCCTGCTAAAAAGTTAATAAAAACAAAGAAAAGGACCAACGGACGGATTTTAATTCTTGCTGATAGCCATGGTAGACATCTTAGGTCAAACATAACAAAGATATGGCAAGATAATGATTATGACATTGACTGTTTATTTAAGCCAAATGCAACAATGGAAAATGTAATAAAGGATGTAAAAAGCCTTACAAGTTCATTTTCAAAAGCTGATACAGTTATTGTGCTGGGGGGATCCAACAATGTAATTGAACACACAGAGAAGAGGTATTGTGAAACTGTTAAATGGCTGATGGAGAGCACTAAACACACTAATGTAGTGGTGTCAGCAATCCCTTACCGACATCACACTCCTGGTCTAAATAATAGAATATATTACATAAACATGGACATTGAAGCACTTGTATCAGAGTATAACCATGCTACCTTTTTGGCTATAAATAAACTATCTCGTCAGTCTTATACACAACATGGACTACACTTTAACAAGCAAGGCAAATTAATAATATCAAAAATGATTAAAGAAATATTTGTTCCAAGGATTAAAACTGTTGTTGGTTCTAAAGAACAAACACAGTCTGCTTACATAAAAAACAATAATATTAATGTCATTGAAGCTAACATGTGGGAAGTGATTAATGCTAACAAAAAAGCCCCTACCACAGCATTTGCGCATACCATATCAAGAGATATACAACACTACAGAAACATGTCTGCTGGTGTAGCGGTTGTGTTTCGTAAGATATTTGGTAGGCCTAAGGACACAGACTTCATCAACTCAAGATTGACTTGCCAGACTGAATCAGTGGGTGCCACAGTATACAGTCTTGTCACAAAGGAAGAATATAGAGGAAAGCCAACACTACCAACGTATGATGAGGCGTTTGAACACTTGATTGAGGATTTTAAAGTAAAGCAATTTGATACTTTAATATGTTCTCCTATGGGCTGTGTGCGTGACTTAATACCTCTCAACCACTTTGCAAAAAATATTGTAAAGCTGCACAAAGTGACTAATGCTACGATATATGTAGTGTCCTGTGATCAACCAGCTGCTCAGCGAAAATTATGGAATGGACTATCACATACTGCATTTCTGGATCAGCTAAGGAAGACAATAGACAGTTGCTGTTGTGAAATTGATGCCCCAAACATTCTAACTGATGCTTGCATCAACCCGCCTGCTTCACCTTCAGAGGATCTGCAGTCTTTGGAGATCTCACGGGGCTCTGGTAACTCAACAAACACAACTAAGATGGTTTCGTCTGATTGTAAAGCACCTGGAGCTGACGGCCAACTTACAAACCAGATGTCAACACATGGTGAAGAAGTTAAAGTGGTGCCCGGCGACCTCACATACTGTGAGGCGTTAAAGCAGAGCAGTGATAAAAGTGTCATGAGTGATAGTTTAAATACAAGCAATAGTTTAAATATAAGCAATAGTTATAGTTCGACCCAGTCCCCTTCAACTAATCAACCACACCGGATCCTTCCTGACCCTAAACCGGATTTAAACTCTTCGCCGACAGTTTTCAAGGATCCAGACTAAAGTTTAAAAATCAAAACTCAACAAATAGCAACAAAATAAACACATTTTCAATTTTTCATCAAAATATTCAACATTTAAATTCCCGGAAAGAACCATTAGAAGTTGTTTTAGAAGAAATTAAACCCAATATAATTGTTTTGACCGAACACAACATGAAAGAATATGAAATAGAAAGATTTAATTTAACTAACTTTTCTGTTACTTCTGCATACTCTCGTACAACCACCTCTGGCGGTGGCGTGATGATTCTGTCGGAGAAGAGTTTGAACTCAAAACCCCTAACCTTAAAAAAAGTTGATGAACTGACCGAGGACAAGCTTTTTGAGTGTTGTCTGGCTAAATATAGAATAAAAAAATGGTCTTTTGTGCTGGTAGGAGTTTACAGAAAACCTCAATTACAAACATTAGAATTTTTAAGTAGATTAGATAGGTTAATTGAACTTTTAGTTTCTTTAAAAGACGAAGTAAATTTTGTTATTGCTGGAGATTTTAACCTTAATGTATTAATTACAACAAATGAAGTTCAAACTTTCAAAAACATCCTAAGAAGCTACAATTTTAATTATTTAGTAAATTTTCCTACAAGGGTAACCAGTAATACTGCCACAGCTATAGATAATATTTTGACAAATATAGATAAGTCATTGACACATGTTACTGGAATCATAACATCTCTTTCCGATCATGATGGACAAATTTTAGAACTAACATTACCCAAATCTAAGAAATTAAATTTGCCCAGTGAATATGTTGAATGTAGAGATTTTTCAGATAATAATATGAACATTTTTAAAAATATTCTTTCCTATGAAAACTGGCTTCCATTATATTTATCGAAAGTAGAGAATAAGTTTGATGTATTTAACAACATTTTTCAATATAATTTTAATTTAGTTTTTCCAAAAAAGAAAATCAAAAGATACTTGTATAAAAGGAAAAGTAACTGGATTACTAAAGAGCTGATGATGGAGAAAAAGGATATAGTTGAACTATCAAAATATGCTAGACTTAGTGGTAATGTTGATATAATTAATTACTGTAAATTAAAAGATAGAGATTACAAGAATAAACTTGTTAAGGCTAAGAAAACTTTTTATGATACAAAAATTAACAAATCTGAAAATGTCTGCAAGAAAACCTGGGAGATAATAAATGAAGAGACAGGAAAAAATGTTAATAGCTCAAGAGGAGCAATCAATGTAATAAATATAGATGGTGAAGCTGTATGTGATCCTCTGAGCATCTCAAACTTGTTTAATTACTACTATATCAATGTAATAGATGATCTTGTTCAGGATACCTCAAATAATTCAACGTTGCCCAATGGAATAAATTTACAGGACAACATAAATCATATTAAAATCTTGAATCGTTTTAAATCTAAACCAGTTGATGAAGCAGAGATTGAAAAAATTATTTTGTCTTTAAAAAATAAGTTATCAAGTGGCCACGATGAAGTTCCTTTAAAGTTAATTAAAAATACAGTAAAACCCTTGTTAAAGCCATTAGTTCACTTAGTTAACAGTTCCTTAATAACCGGAGTTTTTCCTCAAAGTTTAAAAATGTCCAAAGTAGTGCCCATTTTTAAGAAGGGTGAAAAAACTGAAAGAAGTAATTACCGTCCTGTTTCTGTCTTACCTGCTATTTCAAAAATATATGAGCGGGTGATGTATAATAGATTGTTTGAGCATTTACAAAATAATAACCTTTTAGACGAAGAACAGCATGGTTTCCAAAAAGGAAAATCAACCACTTCAGCTCTGCTGAGGTTTGCGGAAACAATAATTGAATCTATTGACAAGGGGGATAAGGTAGCCAGTGTCTTCATGGATTTGTCAAAAGCATTTGACAGCGTGTCTCATGAAATACTACTTAAGAAGCTTAAAGTTTTGGGCCTGCCAGATGTTCCTTTAAAATGGTTTAGATCATACCTCTCCGATAGATCTCAGTATGTTGAAATAGTTTCAAAAAAAGGAAACCAAGTCGTAAAAAATAAATCACAAACATTAAAAATTAAACATGGAGTTCCTCAGGGATCTATTTTAGGACCATTATTATTTCTCTGCTATGTCCGTGGAATGCCCTCAATTTTAAAATCAAACATAGAAGCCAAAAGCCAGTTACTATTGTACGCAGACGATTCAAACCTAATTATTTCAGCTAAAAATTACCAAAATCTTGAACTGGCCTGTAATGAAAATTTGAGTAAAGTTCAATCATATTTTCTTAAAAATAAACTTTTTTTAAACTGTCAAAAAACCAACCAAATCGTTTTTTCAGCCTCACAAAGAAAAGAAACAATAGAACCAAACATCCTGGTTGGAAACGAAAAAATAGAAAATCTAAAGCATACTAAATTTTTAGGGCTTTACGTAGACACATATTTTAAATGGGATTATCATACACAATTCATAACACAAAAAATTTCTTCAGGGTTATATGTTTTGAGGCGTATGTCACTATTATGTAGCCTGGACACCCTAAAATCAATATATTTTGCGCATATACATTCCCATCTGTCTTATGGTCTGGCAATCTATGGAGGAACGTCTAAACAAAATTTAGATACAGTTCTGAAACTCCAAAAAAAAGCTATAAGAATCATGTTATACTTGGACAAACGAATAACTGTGAAGGATAAATTTTCAAAACTACATATTTTGACTGTCTATGATCAGTATATAGTAGAATGTATTATGTGTGTCAAAAATCAACTACACAATTTGGAAATTAGAAAAAATGTCCATTCATATGACACTAGAAATAAGAATGATATAAATTTATCAAAACATAACCTCAGCTTCTTTGAAAAAAAGGGAACCTTTATGGGATCAAAATTTTTAAACCATCTTCCTACAAAATTAAAAAGTAAAATAAACCAAAATAATTTCAAAAAACTAGTTAAGAATCATCTGTTGCAAACGAGTTATTATTCATTTGAAGAGTTTTTTCAATGTAAAAACGACTAAATAAATAAGGTTGAGGTGCTCTGATGGAAAAAAATAAAAAAATGAAACTGTATGCGGTTCTTACTTTTCTGTAAATCGAAATCAAAATGCATACAAATTAGTTATAGTCTGACACTATTCATGTATGTACATACAATATGAATAAAGAATTTTTGATTTGATTTGATTTGATTTGATTTGAAGACCTTACAGTATTTGTATGTCATGCATATCGGTTCTATTTGCATTCTGTGAGCAGTTGCCACAACTCAGCAATGTTAAGATGTATAAAAGTTATTGAAGACATACTACATAATATATTTTTATTTGTGCTGTCCGTCATACCTTGCCTGAGCTGCAGTTCGCCGCGCAGCAGAGTCATGTAGTGAGTCTGTCCCTCGGTAGCGTAGTCAGGTACAATCTCCAGAGGAATCTCCAGGTCTACAGGTCTCGGACTGCATCTCTCACACAGGTACTTCTCTGCCGCGGTGTCAGCCTTGACACAGTCACAGTGTTGCCACACCAGACATCGCTCACACTGGATCATCAGCCCTTCGTCCCTGAACATTCCGCAGATGCAGCGGATCACATCCTCCTCTTCTGCACCTGTAAAGTTCGGTTTATTACAATCAGTCTATTTACAATCTGTTGTAGGAACAATCAACAATAGAAATCAAAGGGAATAAACAAAGAACAGTAAGAGTAATTTCAGAAGAAGAAAACCACTGTCTCCTTCAGGTGGAATACGAAATAAAAGAATACATGAGATAACTAACAATTTCAATTAATTAAGGATTTAGAAAACAACAATGAAAAACTTAGCGCACTAAAAGACAAACACACAACACTACAAAATAAATAAATAAAGTACAGTATGAGTGACTTCAGACGAGGAATGAAAACTATGGTCTGACCGGATGAAAACGTAATAGGAGAAAAGAAAACGGCAAACAACAAAAAATAACTCTTTGCATTAATATGACTTGAGTGGTCCAATGTTGACCATAATATTATTAAGGTAAATAAATCTGTTGTTTATTACAGTTGGTAAGATGCAAAACTAAGTCTCCAAAACAACCCTTACTGCCAAAGACAAAATCTTGCCCCAGTTTTTCAGTTCTTACAGGACACAGAAAGATATAATTATGAAAGTGTATTAAGAATAAACTCACTTTATAGCGGATTAAGCTAATTCAGAGATGTGTAGCTTAGTTAAAAATGTTTCTATTCTAACTATTCTAAGCGTAATTGCACATACCCGGATCTTCCTGCTCAGGTATGAAGGTTGCTGGCAACTCGTCCCCAAGGATCTCCCTCAGCTGTTCCACAAACTCTAGTTTAGCCACGCTGTAGATCTTGCGTAACCTCGTGGCTGCGATGCCGATATCAGAGGTGCGGCCGTGGAACCTCACATTGTTAGAGAACAATCGACACATGTCTTGGTCAAACAGATCCACTGTCTTGTACACTCCTGTGACGATGTTTTGCTCAATAGTGGTCAGATCTATCGGCTCACTGACCCGCTGGTAGTACTGCGGCAGTTTACGTTTGGATGGCAAAGTCACCAGTGGCGCCGCCAGCAGTTCCCCATCTTCTTCTGTTAACAAAGTAATAATTCTGTTAAATCTTTTAGTACAAGATTGAACGTTTGACATTAGTTACCTACATGAATATGAATACCTGGATATATTGGATTTTTAATTTGTTTTTAATATGTATTAATTAAAGGATTACTAATAACAATTTTAGTAAAAATATTATGACACCTTTTTTTAAGTTAATGTTACTTATACATGAACTACTAAAAGTTAAGTAAAAACAAACTTTTAAAATTTTTGAGAAATACAGTACTGGAACTCAGGAGACTCAGGTCAGGCCAGTGAAATAGTTTACCTAAGAGAAAGGTTTGCTTTTAATCCAACGGAAAGGTTTAGTGGAGATTGCAATATCGCAAATTCACAATGTCTACACGATTGCGCAATAAACTCATAATTTTGCAGCAGTCAAAGAATATGTTCACAGTTTTTCTACAAATGTTGATCACAATTTTGCCATGGTCGCAAAGGACATTTACAATATCATCAGTACCTTAGGATATGTTTGCCAATTTTACCTTAATCACAAAAGACAATTATGACGACTCTGTAACTGTGAAAGAGTCCCAATTTTGCCATTTTCTTGATTCCACTCCTCACCTTTAGCCTGAGCGACTGAGTTGTACAAGTTGCGGAAGATGTGAGCCAGCTTCGCAGTTTTTGTCATCTCCGGATTGTCCTGGGCTTGTGCGAGCCGGCGTGTCCGGATGTTGCGAGGTGTACTGAGGGCGTTCAGCTGGGACAGGAACACATCTGACTCCTTGACTGTGGGAGCAGCTGCAGGGGGTGCTGTGGTAGCAGTGGTGGAGCCTGGAACTTCCTCTGTCCCTCGCACAACCTGCTTCAGCTTCTCTCTCAGCTGTTTAGCCTGTCAACAGTCAATATTTTAGAGAATGGTTTAGCAACTAATGATGACCAAAAGAACACATTAGTGAATTTTGTTCTAGAAAAAAAATCTAGTAAATTGTTCCCTTTTGGTTGAAGCTCATACACTCTTCTGGATGTAGATGAAGCAGTTAAATGGGATTTACATTTATATAATTTACATACGAAAATTTGGTCTATATCATCCGTACTCTTTCGCTTAAGAAATTGTGTTTCTATTGAGACACTTGAAGTGTATTATGTAGGAGTCTATATTGAGCGATGGCATAATTTTATGGGTCAAGCTACCGGTATAAAATATATAATCAGGTTACAAAAACGGATGATTTGTACTATAACTAATCCTTATCCACACAATTCTTCTAAGAAACATTTTCAACATTTCAACATTCAGACATGAACAAGTTTATGTATTCTAGAATCAATAAATGACATACATTCCATTAAAAATTAAACAGCAGAAACAATATATTTCAACCACAGGTATTAAACTCCAGACATCGATCAGATATTACAAAAAAGTCCATTCTATCCTAGGCCAAGATTTACATTGTGCTTCCTACATGCTTCAATTTGTAGAATTTATAAAAAAATTTAGTTTGTTACATAAGAAAAGTTATATTTTCTATCAATCTAAATAATCACACACAACGTATTCACACTGAATTACCTTTTCCAAATTCCTCAGCAAGAAGACTCGACTCTGCAGTACGAATGTTCTCTGTTGTGGAGCGAGTGGCTTGAGAGGCAACAGCACGTTCAGTCTGGCCATGATGGCCTCTTGGCTCAGTTCCTTGCTCTCCCTCACTACTACTGGTGTCGTGTTGGTAGCAGTGGCGGTGGTAGCGGTGGCTGTGGTGGCGACACTCACACTCACCACACCCTGCGTCTTGTTCACCTGAGACTTGCGGCTATCTGTCCGAGACCTACACGACTTACGAGGCCTGCGTGTCGCTTTCTCACAACTCTCGGTACTCGTGGTCGTTGATGTCGAGTTGTTCATCGGCACACGCTGTGACTTACCACCTATCACACCTCTGCAGTTCTTCGAGCCGCATTTGCATTTCTGGAAAAAATAGTTGTATTTACCTGTAGACTGCTGTAAGAACGTAAAAGATTTAAGACCATGAGAAAGGAAATTCAAAAAAATTATTTTGAAGGGCAGTGAGAGATGATAAGATAATATTATAACGAATCCCAGAAACCAAAACGTCCAAAATACAAATTGGAGCACTACTACTATACTATGCCATTTGGTGGAATTATTCTCTATGCAAGAATTCCATTCACAAAGTTATATCTACTGTTGATGCTTACTCACTTTAAATTCCAAGTACAATTAAGAGTGTTGATATATCAGAGTTTGAAAGAATATCAGATGGTAAATTAAAATATTCACATTCAATTTTAAACAACAATACTAATCAAAGCAGCAAAATCTTTTGCACGCCTAAAAAATAATTTTTTTTCATATATAAAACCAAGTTGTGAAACCAATAGAATGTGTGCTTTATCACTGCAGATGTTTTGACAAGTTTATTGCATGAATGCCTTAATTTTAACTACACGAGCAATTAAACTAATATGATCAGGTACATACCTTTACGTCAACAGTTCAATTTTGAACTTTTTTCACAAAATTGAACTGTTGACGTAAAGGTATGTACCTGATCATATTAGTCTAATAAACAGTTCAGGGGCTAAATCATGAATTTTAACGAGCAATTAATTTATGTCCGCACACTTTTTTTACTGGAATGGTACAATGTTTGTATATTACCTGTCCTTCCGCAGGGTTGAACAAGGAGAAGTTGTAGTCGTAGGTGAGTTCCTCATGCGGCTGGATGTCTCTTAGAGCAAACAGAGCCATGCGGAACAGTCCATTAACGCTCCACTTCTGCATCTCACAGTTAGGCTGGCATGAGTGGTTTACAAACCTCCCTGTTACAAATCAGTAAGACAGTCACACAATGAATCAAATCAAATCAATCTTTATTCATAATGTGTACATGAGTAATACAACGGAATGTCTACAATGAATACTTTGCTACTTTGCTATTCCCCTCCCCCTCTCCCAACTCTTGGCATGCATTTATTTATGACTAAAATAATGAGTCATACAGCATTTCTGTCGCTAGAGGTTTTCAATATATAAAAGCCGGTAAAGCATTTGAAATAGATAATATTCCCAATGCAGCACATCTGCAGACTAAACGCATTTCTATTTACCTGGTTTGATTTCCGCTGACAAATTCCATTAAAATTTTCAAAGAGTACGGTTTGCTGGTTAAGGGAAGGTAATAAAATTTGTTATGTGTTTTAAAAACGATTACGCAGCTTCATCTGAGATCTACATGTGTCTGATGATGCAAAAAATGTGCCAAAGATGATGTGTCTGATGTGCATCATAATGCCAAAAAAGCTGTAATAACAGTTGCAAATTTGTAGCTAATTAAAGCGAATAATTTGTAGCGAAGGTAGGTGAAGGTCTATAGCGTTTAGATTAGCCAGAAATTCAGTAAAATAGTGTTAAATACTTGAATAAATTGTTATGACTGTAAATGGCCAAATATTCCTACTACAATCACGCCAATACAATGATCTCTGGCGGTCTTGGCAATACCTGTGACAAACATTTCCCTCTATCACGTTCTTACTACAGAATGACCTTAAAAGATAACCAATGGAAAACCGTTAATGTATTAAACCTCGACTATAGACCATAAGCGATTTTTAAAATTTCCCATTTCATACAATATTTAATTCACAGACATTTTCGGTCATCAAAATACAATTTCTGGTATTTTCCTGGTTTCTCGGTTGGCTGCACAAACTTGTCCGTATTTAAAAACACAGCTTTGCTTTGTTTTCGTAATAAAAATGCAGTAACCTTTTTCCGACAGGTAAATCAGATTAGCTCGACGTTTGGATTAGTGAACTCTAGTGTACTCTTTTAGAATATTCAATGGCTACAACATATCTTGTTGTTAATGACTCACCGTCTCCCCCCATTCGATGGCCGTCGATGACGAGTCCTCCGTCCAGATTGAGGCAGTAATGGTGGGTGTCGTGTTGGTACCTCGACGCCATTCTGTTCTTGAACTCCTTTTCACTCACCACCTCTCCCACGTACTCCAAGATGAACTCGCCACACTTTATAGCATACTTGGTCTTCACTCCCCAACCCTGCAAAGTGATTGTAATTACTTGTAGGTAGCAAATTTTAAGGGTACTGTGAGTAAAAAAACACTAGGGCTTCCCACTATAGGCTAATTCTAGCTCTAGGTCTATGTGTTGGCCAGGTTAAGGTATGTGCAATGAAACGTAGGCCTAGGCTTAAAAATGTTAAAGTATAAACACACAATCACACTATACAATTTGTAATCACATTCTAAACCAACCAGATTACACTTCAATTTGATGAGATCAACACCATTTTTGTTTCATCAATTTTTCAAGCCACCAATTGAAATCGATTTTAAACTTAAGACACTTAAAAATTCGTTCATTGAGACTCCACTCAGTTTGGGTGACAAGCCTAGAAAGAAGTATCCAAATACAAGGAACTTGGATCGAAAACCCCCCTCTCTGATAAACAGTTTATTTTTATTTTTAGGTCTTTAGGAAGGATTTTTATATCAAACATTGAATGGGTTGCAGTGACGTAGGACAGAGACTCCATCAGTTATGGTGAATTAGGTGTAACCTGAATAACAGTCTCAAGCCAAGGCGAAGCCGTTATCGCCCCACTCAACTAGACAGATGATAGTGCCAAGTCAAGGTAAGGATACACTGGTATAATATCAGGCCCCCAAGTGGTTTTTGACCTCAAAAAAGTAGGAAAAGTAGGACTTAATTTTACATACAAATCGAACTTTTTTGCTGATACAATATATATTAAAAACCAAATAATACTAGCATACACAATAGTTTATCAAATAGAATAGTGTATATAAATATACAGGGTGTTTCCAAATTGTCTGGGCATATTTTGTGGACTTGTTTCTGGGGCTAAGACAAACATAAAATTCCATATAAGTATGCATGGGTCTAAAATGCCTAAATTTTTGTTGGTCGGTCTGTTTGTGACATTTAAAAATTATTTTATATCTTGGGCATTTTTCAAGATAGAACTTTTAAAATGGTTATAAATGTGTATTTTAGAAGGTGAAAAGAGCTTGCAAAGTTTCAATCCAATATCTCAAGCCGTTTCAATATGGCAGCCATTTAAAATCTTTAATGCCAAATTTCATGAAAACCGTAAATATTTAGAAAATGGTTTGCAGGATCAAAAAGATAGAGAATTCAAATCCAAATCAAATGAGACCTTGTTTGTAAAATCGGATGACAAACAACCTTTGTCAACGACCAAGCTATATAATTATCTAGCTATATAAATAGCTAGCAAATATCTCCTTATTGATAGGTTGAGTTTGTGAGATAAGTTTTTTTTCAACATTCGGTTACACAGTTTAATAGCACTACCAACTACCATACTGTATTCTTATTTGTTATTTTTCAGAGCAGTATGGGTAGTCCTATTAAATTGCGTAAACAAATTTTGAAAAAACTGATTTGGTTGTTTGACATCAGATTTTAAAAAACAAGGTCTCATTTGATTTGTATTTGAATTCTCTATCTTTTTGATCCAGGAAACTATATTCTAAATATTTAGGGTTTCAAATTAAATTTGGCATTAAATATTTTAAATGGCTGCCATATTGAAACGGCTTGAGATATTGGATCGAAACTTTGCAAGCTCTTATCACCTTCTAAAATACACATTTATAACCATTTTAAAAGTTCTATCTTGAAAAATGCCCAAGCCCAAGATATAAAATAATTCTTAAAAATCACAAACAGACCGACAAATTAAAATCTAGGCATTTTAGACCCATACTTATATGGAATTTTATGTTTGTCTTAAGCTGGGTTTTCCTAGGCGCGGAAGCGGAGAGCGGAGAGAGGAACGCGGAGAGCGGAAAAGAAATTAACATGGTGTTCCGCTCCGCTTCTGGGAAAACAGAAACATTAAATTACCTAAGACAAGTGGAGTCCGCTCTCCGCGTTCCTCTCTCCGCTTCCGCGCCTAGGAAAACCCGGCTTTAGCCCAAGAAAGAAGTCCACAAAATATGTCCAGACAATTTGGAAACATAACTAAAATAATTCTATACTAGTGGAACCCCGTCGAAATCGACGGTTAGTCTTGAGGTTTTATGTAAATTCAGCTAACTGCGTTGGATAGAGTGAAGTCATTAAAATCTTAGTTATATGAAGGGAGGATAAGCAATAATAAGTATGACGATTGTGTTCCCTAAAAAACGTGATTGGTGAATTCGTTTAACACAATATTTCCTACCTTTCTTTTTATCGGCTTTAGGTTGCCCAAAAGGTTTTTTAGGAGTCTTATAATTGTTTGTTCATGAGTTTGTTTCATACCAAAGCCACTTTCACTATATGGGAGAATGAGTTCATATAATTAGTCTATCATGTTAGGGAAGGAGTCAATATTTATTACTAACCACTAATTCCATCTGCTTTAGGAAAATCATTCAGATTGTATCCGGATTTATAAGTAAATCTTCATCTTTTTTTCTTTTTTTTTATAAAAATATCTGATTCTCCAGAAAGCAGTAACATTCTTACTTCGGTCTCAGCAATTTTAAATCCTTCTCTTGCCACATCGACCCATGTATTTAATCATCCTGTTCTTACTTGATAATTCATTAACTTATGGGGTAGTTTTGCCTTGGCCATATAGATCACATAAAGCTGTGCATGTATTTCGTGGATTGGAATGAACCATAATTGTAGGAAATTTTATCACAAATCTTGAACATTTGCGGAACCAAATCCATAACCTAGTCCAGCATTGGTAACAAATTATGCAAATGCGATGAGATGTGATGACACTGTTGTATTTCCGAATGTTTTGTATGTAGTGAGGTTTTATATACGTTGTTCAACCTAGCTACATGTGTACATCAAAGTAAAAACTGTGTACACATTTTTTTAAATCCCTGAATTGACATTAGTTCACCTACTTTACCAAAACCATAGACTCCGTAGTTAGTCTATTCCAAAACTTGAACACAGCTCTCATCCTCAACGTACTCATCTATGACACAATTTTCAACCCGATTATAAAAAACTGTTATACCAATAAATGAATCTCAGGTGTTCTTTCTTGAATTTAAAAATAAATGGTGATTGAAAGTAGAAAAAAAAAGGCAAGTGCCAACCTTACAATATGTATAAGCTAACCCGATAAGGAATAGTTATATGTTCCTTTGAAATTGATAAGTCACACTTATTTCATAATTTAAAATTTTCTAAGAGCAATAAAACATAGATTTTTGAACAAAACATTTAAAATGTATCATAAATTCATCATTTAGTTGAAACTATAAAAAACTTGCCATGCAGTGGAGAATCCATTTAAAATCATAAATAATAATGTAAACATTTAATTTTGACAGTTTCAGTAGACCTTTGAATACAATTTTTATATTAACAGCTGGTTCATTAAAAGTAGTGTAAAATTATCCATATGGTCGAAATGTAAACAAAATTGCAGAGTGAACTTTAAAGGCCTCTGGGGCAGAGCCCCAAGGAAAGTTACATCGTTTCTCTTTTGAGGGCTCACCTACAGACCAATACCTTTCTTAAGACACCACTACCAAGTTTCTACGCCCAGCCGTTCTCTCAAATTAGCTGTGACAAAAACCTCGTTTTCCTCCATAAGAATAACATGGGATGGGAATTTAAAGGCCACTGGGGCAGAGCCCCGAGGGAATTTTCCATGTTTCTCTTTTGATGGCTCATCTACAGACCAGGATCTTTCTTTAGACACCTCTACCGAGTTTCTACACCCAGCCGTTCTCTCAAAATAGCTGTCACAAAGAAAAACAGTTTCAAATTAATATAGATTGTCCAGGTTCAGGTGCTGACTTGATGAGTTAAGCCTATTACGCGCCACTGTTCTGTAGCTACGGTCGTTATCACGATTACGCCTCCTGTCTATGTTTCGTTGTCGTCACGTCGTAGACATTTAAAAGAAAAAAACAACAATTAAACACATTATATCTACACAAAACAACGATAAATGCACAAATTTGAGATACAACCATACTAACACGATCCGTCTTGGGGGTTATGTTTACACAAACTCAAATACTGTAGTAAATAAATGTACTCAATGCGTTTCATTGAATTGAAAAATAAATAACAGCAATTAAATTATACAGCTGATCTAAATGTAAACAATTGTGTTCTCTATAAGGATAACATGGGAACTTTCAAAGCCAATGGGGCAGAGTCCAAGGGACTTTTTCAAAAATGTAAGGCCAGTTTGCAAATCTACGCGACACGCTCTTTCCAATGAGACGTCAATGGATAAAATCGGTTAAGAAATGGCGGAGGAGTTCAACCGACAAAGTTTCATGTAGCGTATTAATTATATAGATATAAATTTTAAAATTAATATCAATAATTAATTATTTTTATTTAAAAAATCTTCAACTAAAAGGCCGGATAAAGTTTTAGCTGAGATTGTACACCAAATATTCAGAAGTAACGCACAAGAGAAATTAAAATGTTAAGGTAAATATGTTTCCCTAACGTTACCAACCAGCCCTAATTTGTGTTTAAAATGGTGCTGTAAATAAGAAATTTGTTCTTTTTTTTATATTATTTAATATTTCAGAACTAAAATTAATATAAAAGTAAAATGAATTTTTTTGGGTGGAAAACAGAAGCATGAATAGTTATTTAAGTAGGCCTATAAAGTACGGAACTATATATAATATAAAATTCTAAAAATATGTTCCTAAAGTATTTTGAATTAGTTAGATTAGAGCTATCTTAAAAGTAGTAGGAATGTTTGAATTGTAATGAGTAAAAACTATTTGAGCCAGTGAGACTTGGACATTTAAACTTGAACTTAACCCTCCCAGTGTTACTTGACGAAAATTCGGCAAGCACCACACTTTGTATAGTGTTACTTGCCGATTTTTCGACAAGCAGACATCGTTTACGGCGAAGGCTCTATAACTGACTGAATCGGATTGAACTGGATCGAGTTAGGTATCATTCTTTCCGTTACATTCTAAGCTGTCTCCAGATGTCTGTCTCTAAGCGCTATTCATTTTAGTTCTGAAAATATTGTAGCAGACAGCTGACGTGCGTGTATTTGTAAACAGCTAGGTTCCCCCAGACCGATGACTGATGTGTTTTATTACGTTTATCATTGTTTTAGTGTTAAAAATCAAAAGTAGTGATATACGTGGTGCATTATAAGAAGATTTAAGTGGTTTTGAAGTGCTGGTTGATGATCCTGAAGAAGTAGGTAGTGATATTGATGTAAATTATCAGCCAGATTCCTAGCTATGGTTAGGCTATGCATTCTTAGCTAAACGCTATGTACTGAAATCAGTTTTTTGCCCATAACTTATTTATTTGCAAATATACTTCCTTATATTATTATATATTTGTAATCCTCATAAAATTTAGAACAAAGTGGCTATTTTCAAATATTTATAGGCCTATAATTTATACAATTTCATTAGGCGCGAACTTATTTTTTTTTTGAAAATTTTTGAAATTATATTTTTTTTACCTAAAAAATTTTTTTTTTGAAAAAATGTTCCTTATGTTTTATATATAATATTGAAGCCCATGATTTTCCAAACAAAATGGTATATAGAACATTAGAATTAACATTGTTTTAAGCTTCTCAGATCCGTTTTAATAAAACCTTGCAAATGCGCCAAAAATAGGTGGACATTAAGGCCTAAACTATGGACACTTGGAGGGTTAAGCCTTAATTTATTTTGAATACAGTTATGTCAAAAAATCATGTTTAGGCTAATCAGGGAAACACTGGACCGATAAGTGCTAAGTTAACTACTTTTGAACTAGTATCCCAGGGCTCCCCAGGAGCATTGATTTCCCCTCAGTTTACTTCATTGGGGAATCTAAAAGACATGTCAGAATAGTAAGCACTGATAATAATCACAATTTTTATTTTCTATCACAATAGTATTGCCATGTCTTTGAAAAAAAAATGTTTTCACCCAATAACAATGTTGATAAGATTAACCATACAGATACTACCAGTACTGGAACTTATAAATTAAAATTTAAAATCATTTAACAGATTGTTTTACAAAAAATATATCTCAGTCAGTCATATTTTTTAGGAAAAAACTTCTCATTGGGAAATATTGATAAGTAAAAAAAATATCGCAAAATCGACATAATTTTTATAAAAAAGTAGGAAAGTAGGACAAATGTGTAAAAAGTAGGACTTTTCCTACTTTCCTACTAAAAAGTAGGAAAAGTAGGACGACTTGGAGGCCTGTAATATAAGGAAATTCTGATGTAACACTGAGGTTAGGTTAACGTCTTGGAGCTAGAGTAGTAAAACATACATTATAATTCTGCAATTTTAACAAACAAAACTACTATCACTTTTGAGAAGACTGGTACTAAACTAATTTGTACAGACGTACAAACTACAACATCAGTAACTTATAATAGTTAAATGTGGAACCAAGATGAATTTGGGGCTAACCTTGTCCTTGGTCATGAACTTGTCAAGGCCCGGAGCCCACTCGTGCCGCTGTATCCGCTGGTTGCTACATCGTTCTCTACACGGACACTGATGTGGGCAACATTCTGTGTAAGTCATGCGGTTGATGCAGTCCTCACCACACGCCTTAACGTTGTCTTGAGCCTTGCAGTTGCAAGCCTGCGCTTCGTACAGCAGAACCGGCTTTACATCATAATACACATCTGCAATCAAACAACAGACATTAACACATTGTATTCTGTCTTTAGTAAAAAATAAGGAAAGTTTATGTTTCTGGCCCCTGGACTATATTGTTAAGACAATAATAGGTTTTTACATACCTCCGTCAAATAGTCAGTAACGATTAATATCGCTCATCAGCTTACATGTTTTGTTGCGAAGACAACATTTTCCAATCTTGCAACTGTTTAAAACACGGACGACACAAACACAAAAAACATTAAAATGGTACGAATACACAATAAACATTTAGATAGTGCTATCATGATACTGATTTGGTCTGGCGCGACGCTGGGTTGGTAGCAGACTCCTAAAACTTCTTACACATCTACGCTATTTGCCTATCCTGTTTTTTGCTCAGTTTTACACTCACTTGTTCTGATCTTCTTGTAGTTCCAGGACGGCACTATGTCACGTCCAGGCAGCTGGTTGTTGGTGTGGAGCCACCAGAGGTCGTGTGGCAGCTGGAAGTGAATTCTCCGTTGTCTCACCCACTTGCCACAGTAGTACGGCGGAGGTAGCAGACCAAACCTGTGCTCTGCTGGGTTGTACGTCAGTCGACCCATCTTAGTTATCTCTGTGCTTTTGCGAGGTCTGAAACGATAAATCTGGTCTTAATACAAGTCTATTGACTTTTCATCACCCCATACAGAAAGTAGCTATTTTTGAGTACAGCTGATAGCAAACTTTTTCCCAAACTCTCATTTAGAACCAGAGAAAACCGAACAGCTGATTTACCCTTTCGTTAAATTTAGTTTTCCTTGCTCTCAATTAGTTCTAAATTTGCCCAATACATGCAGTAGCTTTTTTACCATTTATTTTTGTGATATAAATAAGCTGTTTTTACTGTTCAACAATACAAATCCAACCAGAAAAAAACATAAGCTTGCTTCGGTTTTCTTTTTAGCATGCAATGCTTTTTTAACAGAATTCATAGATTTACATTTCCTTTGAATATTTTTAAATTTTTTTTATTTTTTACAATCGGCTGTTTTTACTGTTCAAAAATAAAAATGTAAACAGAAAAAGCATAAGCTAGCTTTGGTTTTCTTTTAGCAAGCAATTGTTTCACAGAATTATGAGATTTATAACTTCTTTGAATATAAATTTAAATTATTTATGTTTTACTTACTCGTCTTCTTTGTAACAATCAGAAAACAGGCCAGCAGTCAGAAACTTCTTACGCCATCTTGGAGGAGGCTTTTTCCGGGATTTTGTTGAATCAGCATCACTGCAAGAATAAATGTCATGGTAAATAAATAATAAATGTGGGAAGCAATTCAAGGATAAGTAACACTTACTTTATGTTGTGCTTTTTAAATTATTTTGAGTTATGCTTGAGTAATAGAAAGTGATGTTATTTTACTAGTAGTTATTATAACTAGGACCAAAAAGACACTTTTTCCCCGTACGTAATGAACAACTATTTTCATCATACTGTTGAAATAAACATAAATCGTTACAAAATTAGACTACATAATTTGAGATTATACAAAGTCGTCATCAATGTTTACATTTCTGTTGTTTACAAACATAACTTTAAATATCGTGTGATTAGGAGCATTTTCATAACCCACCGATACAATTTTGAGGTTAGCAAACAAAAAAATTTACCATATTTTTTTCTGTTCCCTATTTGAAGTTACCCGAAAACGAAGATTTTGCTGACGATTTAGAGAACTAAAAACGGCTGCTTTCCTGACAGTAAGATGAAAATCATCTCCCTTCACATTGATACAGTCACAACATACAAGTTAGAAAACAGTGGAAATTTACTAATTTTTCACCAATAACAAAATATGCTAAATAGAGGTATTTCTGAGCCAAGTTGACTTATATACAGTAAACAGATAGTTCTACCCCCTCACCTGTCTTCTCTTTCCCCCTCCTCCCTTGCTCTTCTCAACCTCTTGGAAGGAAGGGCTCTGACTTCTGGTGGAGGTAGATTCTCTTCCATTGGTGAAGGAGGTGGCAACTCTGGACTGGGCGATCTTTCTTCTCTCGGAATAATATCTTGATCCAGCGTCAGTTTCTGTTTTCTTTTCCTTCTTTTGCTAGCCTCCACCCTTTGTCTTGCTTTCAACATCATCAGTCTTCGGCTACTTTTCCGCAATTCAACTTTACCTTTCATAGTTGTCTCTTCGTTTAGAGTAGTTTCAGTCTTATTGTTGTTTTGGATTTCAGCCTTTGTCGATACTTGTCTTTTTGTGAGTCTTGCGTTCGGTGGTTTCACTTCTTCTACTTTTTTAATCTTATTACTCGGAGGAGATGTTTCCTGTTCTTCTTCAAACCTATCACAAAGTGATTTATCTTCATCTAAATCACTAAGCTTGCCTTCCTCTTTTAGTTTAGTTTCATCTTCTGTTTTGGATTTTGTTATTTTGCTGTTGTCAGTTTTTATTTTAGGTTCTTTGACTTCATCCATTTTATTTCTATTTCTTTTGCTATCTTCTACAATTTTGGCTTTACTGGTTTTAATTTCTACTTTCGTTTTCAGTTCGTCTGGTTTGGAATCAGTATCCACATCAGATTTGTCTTCCACTTTTGATGTTTCGTCTGTAGTAACTTCCGGATCATCCACTTTCTTCACACACAACACTGGCGCTGGTAAGTCACTCAAAACTGTGTTTACATCACATGGCTTTTCCTTCCTTACATCTTTGCTTACAATTAACTCAGGTACAACATCAATTTGCGGAACAACCTCAACCACTTTCTTTTTCTTCTTTTTCTTTACAGGAAAACCTGTTCTATTGATTCGATTTCTCCTTCTTATCTTAGCCTTAAGTACACCGTGATGACCCATAACTTTTTTAAGAACCAAATCTGAAGGGGAAAGCTTAGTAACATGGACCCTTATGTCCCTAATGACTTTTCTTTTCTTGAATTTCTTCTCTTCATCGCCACTAGAGTCATTTAGTAATCTCTTTGGCCTGTTTCTACCGTTGTGAGATTCATCCAATTTTAATATCGGTTTTGGAAGTGAATCAGATTTATCAAACCCTTTCAGTTTTTCATTGAGCTGACAAAGAACATTATCCACATCATTGACCACAGAGGGAGGGATTGAGACAAGATTCATCAGCTCATCAGCTTTCAGGGACGGTTCAAAGACTCCTGCAGGAGGTTTGTTTGATCTGGACCTGTGAGATTTGGAGGAACTATTCTCGGGTGTCGGAGGTATCGGTGTTATCAAGGGAGCATTTGGTGGTATTTTACTCGCTGATCTGGTACTAAGGAGCCCTACATGTTGCAGAACAGGTGGTTTTGTCGGTTCTTCCACTGCTGATTTAGATTCCGCTGTCTTCTCCAACGCAGCTTTCTCTCTAGTTGCGACCCTTTTATTGAGAACCGCTTGAGTCGCTGAAGTAACAGGAAGGGGTTTCTCCTCAGTTTTATCCAGTCTGGAGGCTCTCTTGCTGTTGGCTCGTTTGGCTGAGGGCTGAGCAGCTTCACTCACACTCTGCCTAGTCTCGGCCTTGTTGGTTCCCCTCGACGTTGATCTTTTACTATGCGATGGCGTCGGAGAGGGAGAAACTGTCCTCGGTGCTGACTGATTGGTGCTTGAACTTCTCGAACTGACTCTCTTCGTCGGTTGAGGACTTCCGACTGAACCCTCCGTTTTACTTCCAGATAGATTTCTTACCACAGGAGATGTACCTGATCCCTTCTTATCCATTTCTAATCGATGTCGTTTTTTGGGAGTAACAATAACAGATCTCGATTCATGTGAATACCTGGTGATAGTCGCTTCAATAGCTTCATCAATCGAGTTTCGGTGGGTTTCAACTTTGGCTTTGATATCTTGAACTGATTTTGTACTTCCTGTGCTAGTTTTCGCGCCGGATGTAACGTGACTTTTATCACCAAACTTCTCAGTTGTGTTGACGATTGCAGCTTTGGCTCCTGATGACTTGGAGGGTTCCTGACTGACGTCTACCTTGGGTGAATCAGAAGGTTCACTTGTGGGAGCTGATGGGGCCGAGATATGGTAATGTCGTTTCTTCAGTGGAAGACGTTGTTCGTTGTTTGTTTCTGGCCGATCTCGGTTCTGAAAATGTATGAACATTTACAAACTCTGAGGGACATTTCACATACATATTCAAACATGCCACATGGATGTGTGGTAAAATATTTTGAGTTTTTTACACAGACCTTTTACAAGTTGAACTATTTGTGCAAAAAGAGACTAGTTCACAACTCAATGACAATACAAAACAAGACCACATTTTTTAGGGTTATGAAAAACCTAATCTAGAATTAGGGAACATGGAAACCAATAACAATGCAAATTAATAGACTAATTTAAGACTCTTACCTTGGTCGTTTCCACAGCTCCTTTCTTCGGTCTCCGTTTGACCACTGCAGGTGTCGTAGCTGTCGGTTCCCCCACCTCTGGACCAGAGTCCCGATCCCTCTCACTACCTTTCCTCTTCTTTACAATCCTTTTCACCCGGAATATCGAGGGTAGCTGAGGATTGTCGGAGACTTTTGGTGGAGCTGCTTCCGTGTTAATACAACACATCTTGTTGAAGTCTTGTATTAGCTTTTCCAAATCCGTAATAAACCTGTAACAATTTTTAATAACATTTCATTTTTGATTTGTTGGACATATTAATGCTGAGTCCTAATCTGATGTAGGCTGGATAAGGGATTTTTCTGTTGGCGAAAATAAATATTGGTTATCGTTCTTTTCTCCTAAAATTTCAATATCAATGTTGTAAGATTTGTTAATAGTTGTCATTAAACAAAAATAAATTCTTATCTGACTTGTTCATATTAAATTTAACAATCTAAAGTGTGTAAAGTTGTTTGGAAAAATTCTATTTAATATAAACATTAAGTTTTGCAATATTACGAAGGATAAAAATCACATATGGATATGTCTCAGCTAAATGAGTTTTTGTCACAGTTACTGTGCTAATCTTTGCTTTATTGTCACAAACATCAATTTTCAGTTATTGTAGGTATTTCTACTAATTTCACTGGAACTAGGGATTTTGCAACAATCTTCTGCAGAGATAGTAATGATAACGTTGACATTAGTCAATTAACAACAGAAGATAATAAGGTTTCTGATTCTATACTAGGACTGACACATACAGGGTGGCGCAGATGGATCGGGTGGTTTTAAAATACTTGTCAAACAGTCAATTTTAAAGGTATTGGATTGAAATAAAGTGCAAAACGTGTAGTTACAATGGAAGTTTTTTGACAAAAACATTGTTAAGTTAGTTTTTAAAAATTACATCCATCAAATGCCTTCCTTCTCGAGCGACGCATTCTTGGAGTCGATCCTTGAGGTTCCGCATTGCTCGCTCAAGCACATCACCAGGAATTGATGTGATTTCGTAGTGAATTGCAGCCTTCAACTCCTGAAGCAAGGGTCTACATGAACAAACCCCGGACCATTCAGGAGTTGAAGGCTGCAATTCACAACGAAATCACATCAATTCCTGGTGATGTGCTTGAGCGAGCAATGCGGAACCTCAAGGACCGACTCCAAGAATGCGTCGCTCGAGAAGGAAGGCATTTGATGGATGTAATTTTTAAAAACTAACTTAACAATGTTTTTGTCAAAAAACTTCCATTGTAACTACACGTTTTGCACTTTATTTCAATCCAATGCCTTTAAAATTGACTGTTTGACAAGTATTTTAAAACCACCCGATCCATCTGCGCCACCCTGTACATTTTATTAGTAGTGATTAATAGTCCATCATTTCTGTTATAGATAATAATTGTAAGAAAATAGTGAACAAGAATTGTAAGAAATTGTCATCAGGTGATAGCCACATAGATGCAGGTGACAATGAAGTAGTTACCTACGTTTCAGAAGCAATGCAGCAGTCTATTTTCAAGGCATTAACAAATTCATGATCATTCCATTAGTGTGCCTCTAGAATGGACTCCCGCATTGCGTCTGAAATATCAGCAATTACTGCCACCTGCATCTATGCAGCTGTCACCCAAAAATCAGGATTTACCACCTATAGAAAAAGACATTGGAAGCCTATCGCAAAGGATAAATGAATTACCTATTTCAACCTACATTGAGTCTGTTTCCTTTTCAATCTTAGTAAGTAAATAACAGTAACAAAGGTAGGGAACATATTTTTTAACTTACCTAGGGTCAAGGCTGATAACAGTCTTTTTCATCTTTTTCTTTTTCTTATGCTTGTGTTGCCTCATTCTCATCAATCCTTTGGACACTGCTAGGGTCCGATTCTGGATCATCTTTCTTCTCCCTTTCTTCCTCTTCTCAATAATCGCTTCCAGCTTGCTCCTTGAATTCAATTTTGCATCCACCGATGAATTTTTGTACCCTGAAGATTCACTGCGTTCATAAACCGCTTTGGGCAGCTTCGCAATAGGCAGGGGAATGTCTAGTCTTTTGCTCACTCTCTCGCATATGTCGTGTAGGAGACTGCCGCTGCTTTTCAAATGGCTGTCATGTCTTGATAATGAGAACCTGTCTTCCGATCTTTCTTTGCCGATAGGTTTCTTACTCTTCCCCAACCCCAGAGGCAGGATAGGTTCCAGAGTAGGTGGTGTTTTCTTGGGCCTTCCGGGACCTCTTTTTCCAGGAATCATCCCAGGTAATCTTGGTAGTTCGTCGTTGCTCTCCACCATGTTGACAACAGTCTTGTGGTGAGAAGCGTGCCGGTAGAAGGGAGGAACCTTTAAAACATCTTTTGCGTGTCGAAACTCTTCTTTGTTTAGCAACAGTTCCGGGTTTATCAGTCTTCTTCCTTTCTTACGTCTCCCCGAACCTTTCGGCCTTCCTGGTCCTCGTTTGCCACCAATCTCTCCCAGCAGATCTGCTGTTGTAGCGTACAGTTTTGAGATTTTTTCCTGTAATTTAAAATACAGAATTTTAGTAACTGCACAAGACAACTATTGAGCTTTGCTTTAGTTCTCACTCCTGACGAAATTACACTGACAATAAATATTTTTTTAAATAATTCGTAATTCTTTAAAAATAACTCCTTAGAGCAATGTTACACTTAATTAGACACCTATCATCTGAAAATCGTTATGTAAGGTGTATTTCGCATGCACTTACCGTAGAAGGCTTGGGCTTGTCTGGGTGCGGGGGAGGTGGGGCGGGTGAGTGGGTGGGTGAACACTGGTGAGCGGGTGACCCGGCCACACTCTGTATCCCACTGTCTGGAGACACATTAGACACAGAACAGTCCAGCCTCATGTAGGCCTCTAGCTCCGGCATCACCAGTCTGCTGACAGAACAAATACACTATATAAATACATTTATGTTTATACTGTAAAGTAATCAGATTGTTCTACTTCTGTGGGTAATATCTCCAAAGGAGAACACAGAAAAACAAGGGAAACTAAAGACTGATTGAATAACAAAGACTGATTGAATAAAAAAGCACTGTGAAATAACAAAATTAGAATAATTGCTGCAGACAAGCCATATTGGCTTTTGTGGCTTGGAATCGTATGTGTTTTGTAAATTTGTATTTTTGGAAATAAATAATAAAAAAAAACCAGTGGGTGAAGTTGTTAGACAATGGGAAAGAGACCTCCAGAAAGATAAAATCAGTGTCAAGCTACAACACACACACAGTATCGTAATCTTTGAAGATCGTGCGATCACGGGAGTCGATGATGACTCCCCGACCACAGACGTTCACAAATAATCCTCCAATAATTCATGAGCAAAGTGAATTTGTGTGGAAAACTGTTTAGATATCTTAGGTCTGTCGCCTATTTTAGGTCCTGTTAAGATATTATTTATTTTTAAAGTTTTTGTTTTGAGATGTAGAATTTCTGGTGTCGACCCTCACTAGTTTATATATGATAAAATAATAATATACTACCTTTTGAAATTTACATAAAAGGTTCATATATGCTTCATAGGAAAGGAAACTGACACAACACGGACCAATTCTGGCGATAGAGCTGCACTACTCTGAAGGAACAATTTATTTTGGGAGTGTGCGCTCTTGCGGGCAGCCGAACATTCTCTGATCGACTGCGCATTGCATCTAACCTGAAAGTTTTTGCTCAAGTAGTATAGTCCAAGGGTAGGATATAACTAACACATGGCGAAACGAAACGCCACAAGTAAATGTTGATTCAATGCTCTTTAGAGGATTCCACAAAACCTGCGAGTGTACTGGCATGAAATGTTGTTTCATGTCCTGTCTAGTGTAGTAGTCTCCATTTAATAACACAGAAAGCATTCACCAGAAACTTTTACATACATTTCATTTCCCAAGCAGTGTAGCCCAAGCTATGATACAACTCCAGAACACTGTAAATACCTGTTTTGCTCGTTGGCGTTGGTTGAGGTCTTAGGAGGTCTGCCTCTCCGACGACGTGGAGGCTGTGAGCTGGACCCTGGCTGCTCCCGTGGACCCTTGGATAGCTGCTCTGTTTTCTCCACAAATTGTTGTAGCAACGAAGATGAGTAACCACCCACCTGCGAAAAGACAACAATATACAGATTCAAAATATCCTGTATTGTTTACAGACGCTTTAGTATTACTTTACCAATCTATAGAAACACATTAAAGTTAGAATAATAATAAAGATTTATTTAGTTAAGGAACTGACAGCGTGAACCTTACATGGATCACAAGAACCTTGGTTTTTAGGATTTCCATGAGGTTAACAGGCTTAGGAAAGGCAGGAGGGAAGAGTCCAAACGACCTTAAGTTTTTCACCCTGACTATGAAACAAGAGCCTACAGCTGATGTATACATTAAGCTAAAAAAAGTGGTGGGGAGCACAGGAAATCTTTCCCTTAAACTGCCTTAACTTTTAGAATGGAGTAAATCATTGGTGACGATAAGTATACATTATACTACACCATTTTTTTTAAATGTAAGCCTGCTTACTAGGTTGGATATTGAAGTTTATCGGATTAAAGGTGTTATCTTAGGTATAGGCTTGGGGGTTGTCTATATTTCACAAACCACTGGTCTAGACAACTTCAGGCCACCACTTGACCTGAGAAAACACTCAATTAAAAGTAAGTGTATCTGATGTACCTCGTCATGATCATCTTCGTCGCCACTGCCCCCACTCTGGTGTCTCTGTTCCTCGTCATCCCCGGGTTCGTCAGAGTCCAGGTCTATCCTCTTGATTGCTTCACTGACTATCTGCTCTTGCTCTGGCAGCAGTTCTGTATCACTGGAGCTATCCTGGGACACTACCCTAGCTGGCGGCTGCTTGCTGGTCACCCCCGACACACCTGCCCCACTCCTGCCTTCCCCACTGCTGACATCCTCGAAACCATCAAACCCCACTACGTCGGGTAGAATGGCTGCCAGGTCCTCCTGATTGATTACCTGTACAACATACACATGTTAATAGCAATTTGGGGAGATCCTAATAGTACGTTAGTTATAAATTGGTATAACGGTAGTTTCCATTATCCAACCTAGAATGGTTGCGGCAACTTGGATAACGAAGAGATAGCACATCATTACAAAAATCTACAAAGTAAAAACACCACTACTACAACTGTAAAATTAATAACATACAGTGATGTCTACTTAGTCGTTCCCACTCAGACTAAAATTTTAGGGGTAGCAGAAGGATACTGAGATATGAGTACATGACTGAGGTTGTAATATGCGACACGCTAATGTAATCAGAAAGTAGTCAAGTGCAGGTATGTCCAAGGTAAACATCTTCCAAGTTCAGACAGGAGCAGCAAGATGGATCAATTTGACATGTGCACAATGATATAAAGTGAAAACACTGAATAGGTTAAGATTTCACAGTACTTGATCGTCCAAAGTGAATCGGATAACACAGAAGTTCGGATAACCAAAAATAATATATTCAAGACTACAGTTTAGATAGAACTACTAAAAAACCTGTTTATTATTAATAAAATTCTTTCGCCTAATATTTAGGTGTCTGTTTTAACGTCTTTCATAACTTTATCTCTATTCATTATGTGTCCTGCCTTACTTCTGTTTCCTTCTCATCTCTTACCTGTAGTTGCTCAGAGATGGGGATGGTAGTTTCCGTCTCTGTCTCCCCCAACTGTTGAGCCAGTCGTGAGATGTCATCACTCTCGCCCTCTCTTTCTCTTCCTCTATCTCTATCCTTCTCATCTCTTTCCCTGTTTCGTTCTGTTTCTTCTTCATCTTCGTCATCCGAATCACAACTGTCCACTGCTCCACACCGCACCTGCAACATGGTTTAAACTATTTAGACAAACCTTGTTGGACATAGCAACAATTTTTTCTAACAATTTGTTTCCATAACATTACATGTTTCTTGAATACAAAGATACTTTACGAAAAATTAATGAAAAAGACGCATACATTGTGATAGAAAAAATAACCAAACAGCCTAAAACCAGTAACAAATGAACATTAATTTTCAAGTCTTATTCAACTGAGTGGTATCATTGACCTACTGTTGACAGGCATACAAACAATGATTATCAATAGAAGATTTAAAAAGATAACACCATCTAACTGTCACACTCAACCAACAATCAATGTAAGACTGAGAGAGATGCGATACTGCAGATTAGTTAATAAAAGTGGTTAAATCAATCTTTGATCCTTGGAATCTCTGACACGATCAATAACTTAAACCATAGATGAAGTTAACCCAGATCCTCTTACATGTAGGACTGTTTTACCGTTACATATTTGTAATTCAAACAATCTAACCAATTACACGTCTCTTTCCAATTTAACGAAAGGGATAAGTTGTTTATGTCCATGTTTGAGCAGAAAGTGAAGTGACAACTGAGCAAGTAGCAAGTGAGGCGAGGAGGACAGGAATGTTGCTACAACCTGTCTTGTGTCTAGCCTTCCTAATTGATCCACATTTCTCCCAACCACAGCAAACACACACACACAGAAACTGATCAATGATGATCAATGAGTGGAAAGAACCTCGTATTAAAATAAGACTTATTACAGAAGAAATACCTGAAATGAAAAGTCTAAAGATTTTCCACCGATTATGATTGATTTGATTCAACATACTTTTTAAAGTAACAAGCAATTGTTTAGTACAAATAAATTAAATCAGTTTTTGTTGGGAAGTCTAAAATATAGGCTACCGATCCTTGTTTTGTTTATCTTCTTAGTAATCAAAAATAACAAAACTATTTAAAAATCTGTCAGCTAATAATTAGGTGATAACTACAATATAATATTTACATTTAACATTTTAAATCTCTGGCCACATCACTACAGGCCTACTAGCATTATTAAGTGAATAATGATGATTTTTATTTTAGGCTACAGCAAATTTTTCGTGTAAAGAATTAGCTATCATGTAAGTCTCACAGTAAGACCTAGACCCAAGACTGATATATTTTTTTGTTTTGATGTCTCTTGAGGCCAAAATAAAAATCGGTTTAAATTCATATGTGTACATTAGCACGATAATTTTAGTAAAAATCATCTGATTTCCATTAAATTAGGTACAAAAGTGTAAACCAACATTCAAAAGAGTTTGCAAAGCAGCATGACCGGACTAAGGAAATGGACACCTAAATTGCTGATCAAGAAGTTATTCACGAAGAAGTTCATGTGTGTGTTGCATGTGGAGTTGAAGCGTTGTTGTACGTCTAATGATTATTGAATAAAAAAAAAATTAAATTTTAAAAGCCCCTATTATTTTTATGGAGAATAAATAATGTTGTATTTTGCTTATTTATAGATATACTTTGATTGAATTTAGCAAATTTATTGGCTTTATACCAAGCAATTCATCAATAACACACTTTTTTTACTTTATCTTTAACAGCAAACCTCATCAAACTTAGTGCTGTTCAAATAGGGAATAAAACTCACAATTTAAAAGAAGTATTTAGTGAACCAGACCAATGGAAATTAATTAGTCTGCACAGGTACTGTGGAGAGTATCTATCGTTAAATCAATAAAATACAGCAAACAATTTAATTAAAAAATTAACGCTTAAACTACTCAATCAGGCCCAAAATGTCACCTCCAACCTTAGACTATTTAAATAGAAAATCTGATGGAAGAGGTCAAATCTAGAATGAGTCAGAGAGAAAGCAAAGAAGTTGCTCAACAATACTCACAATTGTTGGCTTTCTACCAACCCAGCTGTTAAACATAGTTATCACTGTTGTACCACACCTAACATCTGTCCAACACATCTCAACCTTGAGTACCACAACAGACATGTCGTTGTTACTGTTCAAACATATTCAAGGACATTTGAGCGACAGTTGAGTATGAAGAAGCATTTTGCGAAAACAGTCAGTAGATGAATGAGAAATCCGTAAGCTTTGGAGGAATAAAAAGCTACATAGAAGAAATTTGATAATTTACATAAATAAATACAATTAAGTAGAGGTATATATAAAAATAACCCCATTACAGCAATCTGCAGACTAAGTGAATCCTTGGGAGCCCACGAATAACATTATTTTTATGCATACTTTGGTTTGCTGCTACAGGGAAGGCAATAAAGTGTGTTTTTTATTAAAATTATAATAGCTTAGTCTGACATAAATTTTTCAAATTTTATCGAAATATAAATTATACCTAAATGAACAAACTACAACAGTTTATTTATTCTCATAGGAATTTACAATTTAGGAATTTGTACATAGAATTTTGAATATACGGGTTTTTTAAATTTTCCCCGTAGCTTTTGGGCGTTTTACAAACTAGTTTGAAAATAAATTACAAAATAGCCTGTTTTGGGGGTCAAAAATACAAAATACAAAATTTTTCCCATAAATCTGCATACCCATAGTCTGATCATGCTGGTTCACAAACTCGTTAGATTAAATCTAGGTTTACTTCTGTGTACAGAATTTCATAGAAATTGGATGATTTTACTTGAGTTATTGTTCTAACGGACACAAACACAACATGAACAAATTGTGTTTTTGGCATCTGAGGAGATCGAAACCAAAAAGTAAATCGGTCGATGGTCTATGTTAAACCATGCATGGTAATGGCTTATTCTCTATATGGGAATTTCGCTAGTAATTTTTTGTCTATAGATTGCGTAGAACCATTAAATATTTGGTTATTTTCTATTTCATATCCTAAGAAAGCAAAGTATCATCTCAATATCTATCTTTGTGCTCATCGCAAGATGGCAATCCAGCTCTTTTCAAAGAGAAAGTAAGTTAAAGTAACATTTATGTATTTTGACAACAAAGTAGAGAGGACTGCTGTTTGTGTTTACATTGTGTAGGTAAGCAAGCTCGGAGGGCGTGGCACAACGGTCACAGGCTGATGACTGCCACTGTGGGAACTGATAGCAGATAATTACGTCTCAGAGTCTAGACACTAATACCCCGACACTACTAGCCAGGAAAACAACAGCTGATCATGTCATCCAAACACTGAACACTGAATTTACTTTAGGTAATGCATGACGATATTCCACTGACCTACTTAAAGGTGTATTGAATATAGAAAAGGTGACTTAGGCTTTCTTGGTGGTGAATTCGTTCAGAGATTCTATGTGTTTGAGCCTATTCATGTACTTTTGTGTTTTTGAAAACCATATTCTTCCAACACAATAAACAAGTAACCAAAAATTACCTGAATCAATTTGTAAAGTATACTTTTTCTTGGATATTTACAATAGGCCTAACACATCACCTCAAGTTTAAGCAACTGAAAATGAATGAGATAAATATAACAGCTGTGATACTGAATAAAATCAGCTGGTTCATTGGTCAGGATAATTAGTTTAATGCCCAATGATCAAGGACAGATGATTTCGATCGAAATAAATGTATTGTCTCTTCCCAGGATCGAACCGGTGACCCTCTGATAAGTAGACAAGCATGATAACCACTTACCCAGTTCTATGTCCAGTGGTGAAGAAAATGTAATGTATTTTAAAATTTACGAGAAAATGAAGAATCAATCATTGAAACTGATAAAAGCATACAAATTATTACTATCAATCTAGATCCATTCAATTATTGCACAACAGTCAACGAATATCAAATTACAGTAGTTTGAATAGGCCTACCACATGAAAACAAAAAGAGTTTGCATTGATTTACGATGCAGTTAATGAATTGATCAATTACAGTACATCAAAACCCAATTATTCCCATATAAATTAAATACATATAAAGTTTATGTATAAAGTATAAGATAGTTTACTAATGCCATTATCTAAACCTAAAAGCAATTAATTACCCAACGAGTGGGCCAAGATTGGGGTAGACTTCCATATATGTTGGCACAAACAACCGAATGAAAATATCGATTATTCGATTGTTTCATTCGATACATCGTTTGGTTAGTTAGGTTAGGTTAACCTTACCTAATTAACAAAACGATACATCGATCGATATTTTCATTCGGTTGTCTGTGCCAACAGATACGGAAGTCTACCCGAAGATCGTACTGTTTCACCCGCCAATACGTGATCATATTACAGTACAGTACACTACTATCATGACAACAGTTTATTATCCCATAAAGAGTGACGCCGCCAGCCGCGCACCCTGTTAACAGCCGTAGCGACGTGGCGTGGTCAACAAAGGTAAACACGGCGCAGCTCGTCTTTATCGCTTAATTATTTCAAACACGCTTCCGTTCTCAACAACTATAATTATCTTGGGAACCTCTAATTCATGCTAACCGAAATGAAATTACCACTTATCGCACAACCGCATCGTCTCCATGTAATCTGATACATGTATTAATTTGTTTTAATGGGTTTCGTTTGTAAATTGTGAGTAATTAGATTATATATTTGGCTAGCGTTCGTTGATAAAAGCCAGAAGACATTAGGCGAGTGGCAATACTAATTTACACCATAAAATATATTTTCAAAATGTTTGTGTATTGAGTGAATCGATGTTTGAATAAGGCTGAAATATGATATTCGTGCACAATTCTTACATGTGACTCTTAATAATTTGGGTACGCCTGATATTCCTTGTAGGTATTGAACGCTTGTTAATCCTAAACAAAGAGACAGTTAAACATTTGACTGATAAAGAACACTATTTATGTTCCATTTTTATTGCTATCCAGAAGTAATTTAAAGCTGCTGGTAAAAGAACAGACTAATTAATGCAAGAGGCAATTTTAGCCTTCAACGGTTCCATAGTATAAATAAAACACAAAATTATATCGTGCAAATCCGACGGTAACAGCTAGTTACCGGTACTCCTCTTATCTATGCCGGTATGTATAAATTACATTAA